CAAGGTACATTGAACAGGTAGTATCAGTAGAGCAGCTGATTTGATTTATTTTCAAATTATTTGGTCTCGAAAATGTCAAATATTTTTAATTTAAAAATTCTGAATTGTTAAAATCCATTTGCATGTGAAACCTTTTCCCATACAAAACAAGCGATTGAATAGCAGCTTTTGGAACGTTGGCCCAACTCGGCAGCACGACCGCTGATTACTGGGCCTTGCAAAGGATGGATCAATGCTTCGAGAAGCAAACAAATTTACTAGGAAAGAAAGTTGCATCAATTTTTATTTTTTCCAATTTGAATTTTATATTTTTTATAATTTTTTGTATTTCACATGGCACGCTTTGATTTAGAAGAAAAAATTCAGAACAGTTTTTGACACTTTCGATACCAGAAGCAACAACAAAATACACGCAAATGTTGTTTTTGCTCTACTGATACTACCTGTTTAATGTGCCTCGAGTCACACAATAAGGAAATGCAATACTATGGTAAGAAGATATCGATGGCTGAGTGGAAGATCGACCTATCTCGGCAGCCAGTTCGAAAACATTCTATCTCAAAAAACTTTTCAAGAACGCTCTATTTCAGAATTCGTTTGAAAAACGCCCTATCTCAGCTGCCGATTCAAAAACGCCCTACAACAGCATATTTTCAATACATTTTGAAGTGAGATAGGGCATTTTTGAACCGAATTTTGAGATAGGGTGTTTTTCAATAAAATTCTGAAATAGGGCGTTCTTGAAAAGTTTTTTGAGATAGAGCGTTTTCGAACTGGCAGCCGAGATAGGTCGATCTTCCACTCAGCCATCGATATATCGTACACTACAATGTACTTATATGCGATCAGAAGGAAAAAAAAACTAAATGAAATTAAACGTCATAATTCTGAGATGGAAAAGATGCGTAGAATAGAAATTGAGAGCCTCATTGAAAATAATACAAAGACGTTAGAGTTAAAGGAACTAAAATTAGAAATTCTAAGAAAAGGCAAATCCAAAAATTAAGAGCCTAATTTTTATAAGACTTATGCCCGGTTGATTGGTGCAATTTCAAACTTATCAGCCTGTTAAAATTTCAAATTACACAATTTTTCCGGAAAATATGTAATTTTAAATTTTAAGAGTATGATAAATTATAAAACTGATTGGTGAAACCGAGCATTATTTTTTAATTTTTTTAAAGATCTCGTTTTTTCATATTTTTATAAAGAGCTTTGTTGAATTAAAGGCCAATTTATGAAACTTACTGTAATGAAATGTTTATGTTTGTGTTTTATATACATACAGTCAGCAAAATTTTACAACAAACTTTTTGTTCAGAATTTCAAGAAGAGTTCTAAGTATGCAGTTTTATAGCCCATTAAATAAAGTGCAAATTTAAAGTTGGTGAAAAATCCCGTTGCTTTTTGAAAAAAAATTTTTTCTGACGGTGTCACACATTTTCTTTCATACAATGTTCGACAATTTTTTTTTTTGTATGGAAGAAAATGCGTGACACCGTCAGAAAAAAATTTTTATCAAAACTTAACGAGATTTTTCACCAACTTTAAACTTGCACTTTATTATGCTAGAATTTAATGGGCTATAAAACTGCATACTTAGAACTCTTCTTGAAATTCTGAATAAAAAGTTTGTTGTAAAATTTTGCTGAATTTTTCTACGAGTTCGAAATTTGGACTTATATAGTTGTTGCTAGATAACGAGCTGTATTCTTATAAAAAAAAACAAATTTAACATTAAACAAGCAAAAGACAAATAGTCAAAACTAGTCAGAATATCGTGTCCCTATCTTTTTCACATGACTATCTTATATGTAAATAAGATAGGAAATTATCTTGAAAATATTTTTAAATAAAGCTAAATAAAGAATTTAAATTTGTATTCTTTGCTCAAAGGGGGAAGGTACTACTTCCTTCGACTACTGGTTGATTGTCTTCTGTGGAGATTTCACTGAAATCTTCATCAACAGATGGGTTAGAAAAATTTACATCACTTTTGTAGTGAATGCAAATATTATGCAAAGCTGCGCAAACGTTTACTATTTTACTGCCTTTATAGGAGCATAGTACAACTCTCACTAGCACTTAACAGGCACCTCCATCGGTTTTTAAGAACACCATTTCTTCTTTCGATTATATTTCGACAGCGTGTGTGTACTTCATTAAATTTGGCCTGAGCTGAACCACTTTCAGGTGTTCTGTACGGAGTAAGTAGCCAAGGCTCTAGGGGGTACCCAGCATCTCCTGAAAAGTTTGAAATTGTAAATTGATTTTTCGTTGGTTTTAAGCTATTACCTAGTAGCCAAACTTTGTTGTGGGTTTGCAAATAGTTTTGTTCCATTTCAAATCTTAAACTGCTTATGTTCCATATAAAGGCATCGTGACATACACCAGGGTGTGTAGCATCAATAAAGCGAATTCTCAGATGGCTGTCACATACCTGAAAAAAAAACATTTATGTAAACCATTATTTTTATTTTAACTTAAATTATGGGGATTCATGGAAACACACTTACGAGCATAACATTCAAACTGCAATTGCCTTTTCTATTGTAAAATTGATGAATGTTTTTTGAAGGGGATATTATGTTGACGTGAGTTCCATCCACACATCCTATAACTCCTGGTATTGCAAATTTTGTATAAAAATCGTGTGCAATTTGGCGTTGCTCTTCTAAAGTGGGCCAACTTATCCATTGTGGACAAAGCAATAGCTGCAAAATACTTAGCACTTCTGACAGTACCTCGCTAAAGGAAGTCTGAGTTAAACCCACTTCATGGTCCTTTCCAACGCCTTTCTGATGTCCTCCCTCTGCAAAAAAGCGCAAACATGCGCACAATTTAACAATAGGTGGAATTCCAAATTTCTGCTTCCATGGCGGCAAGGAGTTAGTAAGAATATCCAGCAAATACTTAAATGCGGGCTTATTTAGCCTGTAATATTACCGAAAACTGAAATATAAGAAATTTAATTGAAAAATTCCAAGGAAACTTTTTTTTCTAACATTGAATCACTTAACTCCAAAGGGTTGGAATTGTCCCTTAATTGCCTCCTGAGCGCTCTCCCGTTCAAATTCTCCTCACGCTCGCTCAATAGTAACCTAAGTGCAATGCTAAACATGTTGCTAAATATTTTTTTGGGCTCTATTTTTACTTTATTTTAAAGAATTTTATGCTTGCTTACAAAATTAACACAGTAGCAAGTAAATAATTTCGTCACAATTAATTCACCATAGAGTATCAGCTGATTCGAAGTGAAATTTTGTTCGGCCGAAATTGTGGATAGGCGGAATAATTTTACCCGAATAAAAAAAGTTTCGGCGAAATTTTTTCCGGGTGAACTTCTCGATAAGGATGAATATCTACATGTACTATTTATTCTGCTTGTTGGCACTATATCCAAACACAAGCGCATCTTAAGTGTCTTAACA